ACATAAGAACAGCAGATATGGTGCTCATTTTGATGTTATGGTAGTATTATGATTATCAAAGCTAAACCAGATTGAAACTTACATTTCCCACATTTGTGTTGTCTGACCAGGTGTTGGAAGTGATTAATAAAGTTAAGAATCAGGGCTCTCAGGGCATGTGCCAGCGAGCTGGCTGATGTTCTCACCACCATCTTCAATCTCTCCCTCAGCCAGAACATCATTCCCACCTGCTTTAAGACCACAACCATCGTTCCACTTGCCAAGAAGAGCCCAGTCACCTGCCTGAACAACTACAGGCCAGTGGCGCTCACCCCAATCATTATGAAGTGTTTTGAAAGGGTGATGCTAGCCCACATCCAGAGCAGTATACTGGACACCCTGGACCCCCTGCAGTTATGCCTACTGGCCCAACAGGTGCTATCGTGACTGCCCTTCATTATTCCCTTTCTCACCTGGAAAATGGAGACTCCTACATCAGGATACTCTTCATTGACTACAGCTCCGCTTTCAACATAGTTGTCCTCCACAAAATCACCCACAAAGTGTGCACACTGGGTCTGCACCCTACCCTCTGTGACTAGCTCCTGGACTTTCTGACTGGCAGGCCCCAGACTGTCAGGATTGGCAACAGGACTTCAGCCAGCATTATTACAAACATTGGCACCCCACAGGGATGTGTCCTCAGTCCCACCCTCTAGTCCCTGTTCAGCCACGACTGCAGAGAGTGGTAAAGACTGAGGAGAAGATCACAAGGACTCCACTGCCCTCTCTGCAGAGCATTTACCACCACAGGGTGCGTAGGAAAGCTGCCTCCATCCTCAAGGACCCCACCCACCCCCAGCACGGACTGTTTATACCCCTACCCTCCGGTCAGAGGCTCAGAAGTGTGAAATGACCTGTAGACTGAAAAACTCTTTCTTTTTGACTGCCATCAGACTCCTAAACAGCTGACTCAGGATCTACCTCATGTAATTCCATCTGTACTGTTTACATACTCATTTTGCACATGCATAATTGCACACTCACTGTTGAGTATTTTCACTTCACGGCTCCCACATAGCATATATTCTCTATGCATTATATTGTGTTCTTGTTGTATTTTTATTGTGCTTCTTTCACTGCTGCTTTAAAGTGCCTTAGATTTGCATTACTGCCTATTTAGATTTGTTATTACTTTTCTACTTTATATTTCACTGGTATTATGTGGACAGCAAAGTAAGAATTTGATTGTATAGGGAAATGCATTTCCTAACTGTGCATGTGACAAACACTTTGACCTTGACCTTTTTATGTTCTGTTAAAGAAATATGTTTAGGTTTTTTTTGTTTTTTTTCTTCTTCTCTTTAACTGTGATTTATGTTGTGTTTTATCGACTCTTAGACCTTAAGAAAACGTTCATTCATTCATTCCTTGCATCTTTTCCTTACACCTTATTGGTCAGGACTAAGACACAAGAAAAACACACAAGTGAGGGAAACTATGACCCGTATAAGAGACTTGAGGAACCCTCATACTCTCTCTCCTTCACCTGAGGCATTCAATCACCAACCGATTTCCAATAAAGGGGCGTGTCGGTCCATAAACTTCTGTGAAGGATGGTCTCGTGTGTCCTCAGTCATGGCCCTCCAGTATCCTCCCTGCTCCTCACTCCTCGGTCTGCAAAGCCAATATAAGAGACTTGGAATGTCCTCAGTCATCCGGAATGACTTCTGGGTCAACCGATGCAGGGACGATCCAGGAAGGGACTTGGGATCTACCCTCTGCCTTTGCCCTTTGTTTTCCTGTCTCTGCTACTTTCTGGACTTGTCTACAGTTTTTCGGTGTTCATTCTGGCCTCTAGACGTCCCTGGATGTTTCCTTGACCTGTGTTCCCAGTCACATGACCCTAGCCACTTGTTTCCACTTTCTCATTAGTTCCTCAGAACTTATACCAGTTTTTCACTCGTCTTTTGCCAAACTGTCTGATTTGGCCTCAGAATTCTAGCCGCCATATTTCCAGTGCTATCTAGTTATTTCCCATGGTTGGATAGTTTCTCTGTTTTGGGGACTGTTTTCTTGGAATTTGCCTGCTGCTCTAGATTATCCAACTGTTTGCCTGCCTCTGATCCCTGCTGGGACTGGCATTTGGCCTCTGTCTCTCCCTGCTCTGTTTTGTCTGCCTGCTCTAACAGTAAGCCTTATTTATCTTTGTTTATTTTTGTTTTGTTCATAAAACTGTTAAGCTCTACCTGCCTACCTACCCTTGTGATGTGTTTGCGTCCTCTCTGCTGGTGTGCTAATCATGTGGAGTGTCATAGGGATGATGTATTCTTGTAGCCTAACCCAGAAGTTAGCATCATGTCGGTTCCCTTGACAAGTCAATGGGATTTTCTCTTCTTCATGTCAGAGGATCACCATCATGTTCTCTAGTACATATGTGTTTACGTACACAGACTGCTGATGCAATGGCCTGACTGTTCCGACACTGTTTGATGACCCCATTGACAATAGCAATGCAAGGTGCAGCTCTGACCATGTGCAGCAGTTTTAAATATTTTCTGCATTTGTTGTTCTTTTGCACAAATCCCACACAGAGACTATCAGCAATGACTGTGGGCATTAAACTACCAAACTAATCCTAATCCAAAATGTAATCAGTAACTACAGCTGTCAGACAAATGTGGTGCAGTAATAAGGACAATGTTCCCCTGTGAAGTGCAGTGGAGTAGAAGTTTGAAGTAACATAGAATGGAAATACTCAAGTAAAGTAGCTGTTCTTGGAGTATCTGAGTACATACTTAGTTACTTTCTGGCCATCAGTTGCTGTGTAGATGTAGAGGACTAGTCGTACTGGAGGTGATAGAAAATGATTTGACCTTGATGCCACCTGCTGGTCACATGACTGCTCTGCAGCTCAGGTCCTTTTATCAGCTGTTTTGACTGATCAGCAGCAGCAGAGTTGTGGAGAGTCCGATTGTGTGCACAGGAAGCTGTGGTAACCACACCCACACTGTTTCCACCTTGGGAACACATTTACAGAAAGTCAACAAATAATAGGAAGCATGCACGCCCATCAGCTCCTGATGTTGAAATTACTGTGCTCCATATTTCACAACAGCTTCTCCTCTCAAGTTGCATTTATATTGTTTAATTATTGATTAATTTAACAACTTTCCCACACAATTTGTGCTGTTTGTTTGATAGTAGTTATATAATGTTTATTATCCTTATTATAGTTTGCAACTTCCACAATGTGTTAATTCCATTCATCCATAAAAAATGACAACTGTTTTGCTAATCGATTAACAATTTATCAAGCAAAACTTCCAAATATTTGATGGTTCCAGCTTCTCAGATGTGAAGGTTTGTCATTTTTCTTAAATGAAAGAAAATTAAAAACTGCTGGTCAGAATAAACTAAACATTTAATGAAGCATCTTGTGCTGGAAGTGTAAACTGTGACTGTTTTCCACTCTTTTCTAATGTTTTACAGACCAATTGATTGCTCGAGCATATAATCTGCAGATCAATTTTAATGAAAATCAGTTATTTGCAGCCTTACTGGTGCTATTTTTCTTATTATTACAGCCCTTACAGAAAGGAACTTCACAGGGACCCACTGACAGAAGAAGCAGACTTTGGTTATTCCACAAATATGTTTTCACCAGTTTGTCTTTATCAGGCTTTAAATGCTGTTAAATGTAGCTTGTGTGTAGAAGAAGACATGGTGCATACAGATGTTTTTTGCTGCCCTGAAAATAGTCGGTCGACTGATGATGAAAATCTAAAAACAGACTTGAGATTTTGAGAAAACAATTTTAGTAGTGTCTGAAAGGAGCAGCCCAGGACAAAAGGAGCAGACGTTGGGGTTAGAGCAGCGTGTTAAACTCACTGCTGTGAAGTGACAGTGATAACTGAGATGAGTGTTGGTCAGCTCATCTTTGCTGAGGACACAGTTTTACAGTGAGGACATCAGACTGAAACTGGAAAACTGGAGGGACTTCTCCCATCTATGAGCAAAGAAATACAAAAATAACAGGTTAAGCAAAGTGAAACAGTGAATATGGTCAAAAGTGGAGTGAAACAGGAAACCAATTAAACTATTAATGCATCAGTGTGAACAAGTGGCAGAGGTAAGTGAGAGCAGATGCACAGGGCTTTTACCACACATCTGGATTTGGTCTTAACTCAAAGTATTTGCAACAGCAAAACTGTGGCACTGGAGGAAAAGTCAGAGGATAGTTCTGATTAATGACATTAAGTATTGGTACCACCCTCTTCCACTTGGGACCTCAGTCACTGAAGCCATTCGTTTTTATATCGCCAGAAAAAAATTTACACATTGGCTGAAAAACATGGTTAAACATTTTACAAAATATGGATTTTTATAAAAACAATTCACCTGAATCAGAGTAACTGTGTTTGTGTTTTCATGTGTTTATATGTATACATGTATTATATGTTTAGTTTATATTTAAATATTTGGTTTAAAAAAATTTAAATATTTATTTAAAGGGAATAAATGCCAGTGGATTCCCAGCATTATGATAAATATCCTCTGGGAATCTGAATGTCAGTTTCAGAACAAACCATCTGATATATCTGAAAGTTGTGAGTTAGAACTCGTCGTCATGGTTCGCATAGATTCAGTGTGACTGACACTGCCTGATGACGGCGTTATCTTTGATAGCCATCACCAACAAACATAACTCCACTTAAAAACCATAGAAAACCGATGCATGTTACAACAGAACCTGGTTGGGAATACTCCTGTTTTTACATTGTCTTTAGTGTCGCAGCCATCCAGTGATGGTCATCTGTACATCTGTGGGGACACTGCAAAGAGGAGCTACTAATGCATAGTTCACCATACTTTTAAATGCGCTAATTTACTAATGCATGTACAGTGAAAGATAAACATGAGATAAAAATGTCAGATAAATGACTTTCTTGAAACAACTGCATTTTGTTTTGTTTTTTAAGAACATCCTGTTTTAAATCAGGTTTTTCTTCTGTTTTCAGGCTAAAGGATTATACACATGGGTCAGGAAGCTCTCCTGGTGTATGCCCGCCTCCTTTTCTTTGGTCCTGCCTCCAACATGAGGGTTTAGATTCCAGGCCCTCCTCTTCCCTTGGCTGTGGGGTAGTGAAGGGCTGTCAGCAGCTATAAGCACTAGACAGTTCAGTAAAACACCACGAGAGAAGCTGATTTGCAGCAAAGTGAAAGGGAGAAACAGCAGCCAAGCCACGGCCTTCACAGTGAGTCTTAGTGAAGAATTTTTGTCTCTGCTCTCTGGGACCATTCAGACTTTCTACTGGGAATAATGGGACTCTGTCTGTATTAGAACTGGTTTGGAAAAGCAGAGGAGTTGCTGGTTCTCACTTTCCAAATCAAACCATGCAAAGTGTCAGAGAACAAACAAATAAAACCAGCTGAATTACTGACTGACAGTTCTGCTCTTCTGGCTCATGCACCTACGCTGCTGCTGCTGCTGTGCTGATGTTTGCAGGTACTGCTTGGACATACACTCAGTGTAGTACTACTACTTGTACTTTTGAGTATTTTTAATTTGACTTGGTACCTCTGCATTTCAGACAGAAATAAGTAGTGTACTTCATTAGAAAAACTGTTTATGATGCAGTGTAATTAGGTGTGTGTTGCTGTCATTTGTTCTGTTCTGCATGTTTGAAAGAATAAATCAAATCAAATCAAATCAAATCAATCAGTTTGCATTTTGTGCTCTTATGTTTAGACAAGTAAGAGAAATGTCCCACAGTAGCAGGCTCTTGGTTCGACCTTAACACAGTAATGCTGCTTAAATGTGAATGAAGATGATTGTTTCTTGAAGGAAATGGCAAACTAAAGCTCCTGTTAATGCCAATAAAATGCATGCACTTTATTTTATGGAGCAACCTTCACTCAGTAGGTCAGAATGAACTGTGACTGTAACAGCTCTTTAAACTTCCCCCGCTCTGGTTTGCACACCAGCTTCACCAGAGTTCAGTGACACATCTGTCCAACTCATCCACAGTCATATTTTTGCAATTTTTGGAAACTGAGCTGCTGGTTGGTGCTCCCATCAGTGCAGGAAAAGTTGATGCACAGAAAACTGAAACCATACTAGAGGTCCTGTAATGGCCACCAGATGCTGCTCTGAAAAACCACCTCCAGTCAGTATGGTTTTCATCCGTTCGCTGTGGGGGTAGCCCCCTGCTGCACTGGCCTCTGCTCCAGTCTGGTCTCTGATGGGACATAGCATCTCACTGTAGTCGTCAGGGCAGAGTTCCCTTTTTGCTCAAACTACCTGGCTCCTGCCATAGTTTTGCTTAATGTTCCAGATCTCCCAGTAGACAACAATAAACCTTTGTTTATGAATCCTGAAAAATAAAAACTTATTGTAGGAACAAAACAAGCCTGGACGATCTGCAGCTCAGTGAGGCTAAATGCTAACATCAGCATGTTAACATGCAGGTATAACATTTAGGATGTGCACTTTACCAGTGACAACCTTGTAAGTTAAAGAAAATTTTAACAAAAACAAACACAAGTGACCATAACGTTCTCTCATAGAGCTAGAATTATTCACAGATAATAAACAATGGTTATTATTCTTTTGATTTATTCAGCATCCATTAGGCTGCACCCTGGTGCATTTTGAAGATGGCAGCAACCAGGATTTTCAACCTGGATGTAGTTACTTAGTAATTAGTTAGCTTTGCACAAACACAGACTTCTGAGCTGCTGGTTCTTCTGCAGGCGACCAGTTAGCAGAGATCTCGGACCCTGTGTTGGCACACAGAGCGTCAGAGGTCAGCATGTTGCATTTGGGCTCACATAAAACGAGTCCCAGCCGGCCTCCCGTGACATTCCTCTACTGATAAGTTGCTTCCTTCCTGCTTCGCTTTCCCTCCTTGTTGTTGTTCCATTGTTTTCTCTCATGCATCTCAGCTTAAATCCAGTAACCTGAGTGTCAGCGCTCTGTGAAGAAAAGGAGCAAAGTTAGCTTCAGTTGTTGGTCAGGGTGACAAATGTATGAATAATAAAGTCTACGTTTGTAAATCACAACAGTGTAAATCAATTTCAGCATTTTAATGCATTCATTATTATATTACAGTATTTTTTTATGTTATGTTAAATGACTAAATCTAGAAAATCTCAGTTTTTGTCAGTTCAACTGAAAAGAGAAATGCTGACAGTAAAGACCTTCGTCTGGTATTTTTGGCCACACCCACAGCAACGCCATTTTGCTCCAGACTTATCTCTGTAACTGTTGGACAGACTGTGAAGAAAACTGGCTGAGACACATTCATGTTCCCCTCAGGATGAACTAGCTTTGGTGATCTTCTGACTTAACATGTATAGCGCCATCCTCAGGTTGACATTTTAACTTACTGCAAAATTAGCAAAGTTAATGTGCTACAGTACTAAACTAAGACTTTGAACATGATAATGTGTAAATACAGATGTCATAACACAAACAGCACAAGTAATGGCTGTAAAATATTCTCCGCTCCAAAGCCAAGGTGCCTTACTTGTTTTTCTGGGAGTGTGTTCTGACTGAAGGGACATTACACACTCACTTGTGCAACATATTATTGTTACAGTACAAACGTTGTTCTATTGTTCTTCATCCTGGCTGGATTTTGTAATATCTGTGGCTTTATTCAGTGTTTTAGGGCAGGTGGTCAATTTACAGTTAGGAGTTGGTAATCTACCGTAAACTTAGTCACATATTTCACGGTGCACAACTCTGTGTACATTAGCTGCTGTTATCACTGTTCTTTATCTGTGAGTTAAGCCCACATAAAACCTGCTGCACTGTTTCTCCCACTTGGTGCTGCAGTGATTTTCCTTGGCTTTGATCCAGACCTCAGCAGCTTTCACTCTTCTTATCACTCTCATCTCTTTGTTTCAACATGCAGCTCTTACATTCACACTCAGTGCTTCTAAGAAACTGCAGTGTGTTTCTACTAAACAGCCCCAATGGGAGTGTGTGATGAGCAGAGCGCCATGTGTTTGTGTTCAGACTTGGATCTGAAGATGTTTCTGTGCAACATCAGGAACTGAACAGTGACATCAGTGTGCCTTTAATCTGTGACACACTGTGCTTTTGTTCAGGTTCTGCTCTTCACTTTCTGTGGTCTAAATTAAACCATGGTGGCCAACGACCTCAAAGTGATCTCTGACCCCGTGGCATCACAACCCCCTGCTCGGTGCCGGAGTCCCTTCAACAGCATCAAGGTTTGTCTCTGCTTGATCCTCATTGATTTTGTTGGGGTTTAACTTCAACACACTGCTAAGAGAAGAGTAAAGGACTCAAGATATAAAGTGGTTTAATCAGCATGTAACTGCAGCTCTGCAAACCGACTAATCTCTGAGACTTAGTGGAATGCTGTTAGTGTGCAGCAGAAGGTGTTTCTGTTGTCTGGGGAACCGTTACTTCCTGTGGTCCATTCAGGTTTTGTTCTCTCAGGTCACAACATAGAAACATTTCGTGCATCACCCATCACTCAGACTTTCTCTGTCTTTGATGGTGATGGTTGTTTCTGCATTGCACTCATATTCATTTATTATCAGTATGAAAATAGCAAAGGTTATTCCACTGTATAAATCTGGGGATAAGCACAACTTAACAAATTATAGACCGGTTTCTCTGTTGTCAGTTTTCAAAAATCTTGGAAAAACTCTTTAATAACAGATTAAACACATTTATTGATAGACATAAAATCCTCTCTGATTGCCAATATGGTTTTAGGTCGAACCGATCGACATCTCTGGCCATTACCGACCT